AAGGATTCGAACATTTGAGAAGATTCGAACACTGGTCAAGTCAAACTTGAAGAGACCTGCAAAGCCACAAATGAACATCCGCATTCAATGAGGTCAGAAATGACACAAATCTTAAAAGGAAAAGTTAAAAACTAAGACTAAGATACTTTTCTGCATTCTGCACTCATCTCCCAGAGCAATTTGAGATATTAGCACTAACTAATTTCTGTCCCTGTGGTTGTTTGGATGAAACTTTGAAATATGATCATATTTATCTTCATAGCAGGAACTGCGGACATCTTTTGGTGCCGAATCACGTGACGTTGGCGACCAGATGATGCCAATACTCTGCATCATCATGGCATAATTCGGCAAAATACCCATTGGTATTCCATTGCCTTCTGAGGCTCAGGAATGAACTAAACGGAGAGCCACGGTTTATTTTGAACCTTCCATTTGATAATAATGATACACACACATTATATATATATATATATATATATATATATATATATATATATATATACATATATATGTGTGTGTGTGTTGTTTTTTCAAAGGCCTCTCCCAATTCATTATTGAGAGGTCATTTGGCAGTACCCCCATTACCTGATTGGATGTACACACACACACACACACACACACACACACACACACACACACACACACACACACACACATATATATATATATATATATATATATATATATATATATATATATATACATACATATATATATTTATATATATGTGTATATATATGCATATATATATATATATATATATATATATATATATATATATATATATATATATTGCACATATATGTATATATATATATATATATATATATATATATATATATATATATTGTACATATATATATATATATATATATATATATATATATATATATATATATATATATATATATTGCACATATATGTATATATATATTGTACATATATGTATATATTTATATATATATATATATATATATATATATATATATATATATATATATATATATATATATATATATATATCGTACATATATACATATACATGTGTATTGAAATTGCCATTTCAATAATTACAATGTAATAAGGACATTATGATATTAGTTATTTGTGAGAAATATCATATATTTTCTATCGTCTAAGTGTACTCCAGTGTACTCAAGTAAAGGAGTCTGTTATATGAAGTATCCCTTTGTCGTCCTTGTGTTTGTGTTGCGGCGCAGCGAAGGGAAGGGAAATGAAGGGCCGTGTTGTCCAGTTATTTTTGGTAAGACATTGTGATAATATATGAAGTTGACAACTGTGGAGAATCAGATTTATGGAAGGTATGGTCCTGGTTCATTGTTTAGAAGTAAATTTTGCTAATTTGAGTTTCTTAGTTATGTATTGATTATGACGAATTTATCCAGCAGAGATCAAGGTGTCATGGAATAGTATTTTCTTATGTTGCATTGTTGGCATTTGTAGGGGATGGAACTGTAGGGCAATATGTAGTATAAGGTAGTGGCAGAGTTGGGTAATAAAACCTACATGAATTGATAGAACAGTACAAACCAAGACAAAGCATTTGCACACATATTGCCATAGAAGAACTTTGTCTTGGTTTGTATTGTTCCATCATTTCATGAAGGTTTTATTACCCAACTCTGCCATTATACTACATATTGACCGAATTGTATATTTGGGATTTAAATGCAGAATAATAATATTTCAGTTGTGTTGGATTTGACTCTTCCATGATTTGTTATCTCAGAATGTCACCAATAATCATGTGGAGACGGCATTATGTGAATCTCGATCATTTTCATTCTAGGAAATATGTTGTTTCTTTGGAATCATGATGTGGCAGTTATGAATTTTCTTTATTTGAATATTATCAAGTATTGTTTGTATCATTCCATTTCTTGAATGTTTGATTGATTCTAAGGGTTTTATTAGGCTTTGTTTTTCTCTGTATTTAGTGTTAATGAATACTCATCTGATTATGCATATGCAGGTTAAGTTTGTTTGTTTCTTTTGCCCGTTCCAAGGCATGTGATTTCTTATATTTCAGGTTGAACCTCTTCAACAATAAAGGTTTTACAACAGTTGCTTCGTATTATTGGCGAACCAGTTCAGCAAAGATCTCGTGTGAAGATGGAGGAGCTCAAGAGGGCTAGGGCCGTGGCCGGGAGCAAATCCTCAAGGGGAAGTTATTCTCCGAGTGCTTACGCAGGGAGGAACCAGTTAAGGTGAAGCAGGATGCCTGTGATGAGGTTTGTGAAGCTTATCACACTGTTGAGGCAACAGTGAGAAAATGGCTAAACTCTTCAATAGTTATGATGATGATTGTGATGAAAAGATAGAGGAAAATGAGAAATATAAACTTGCTCTTGAAAGTCTGAAAAATCAAGTAAACTCAACACTTGTTAAGAGAGTTAAGTCTCTTAAAATACCCAGAAATGATAGTGAGTGTCAAACTGAAGGCGAAACCTCTGGAACCTCCACAATTTAGTGGGTAAATAAGAGACTATCCTACTTAACCTAAAGATTATGTGAGATAAATGGAGGAGATCCATATGCATTAAAGCAGTGTCTAACGCATGAAGCATTAGAGGCGATTTAGGGAGTTGAAGCTGATTACAAGCAAAGGTTTGAGCGATTAGATGCTAGGTTCGGAAACCCATCTAAGATCACTGATTCTGTGCTGAGTGATCTTAAAAACCTTATACCATTCCAGAAGATAATTTTAAGAAATTTATTGAGATGGTCAATGTGGTTGAAAGGGCATTTTTGGATTTTAAAAAGTTAGGGTTGTCTTCTGAGATATATACTGTAGCAATGACGAGTGATATTGAGAAATTATTTGACACAAAAAAGGGAATGGGAAGTATTAGAAAGGGTATAATGGATGGCAGTAAGCTATTTGAAGGATTGTTGGAATATTTGTTTAGGGAAAAAAGGGTAATGGAATATATGGAAGCAGATGTAAGGGTAACAGGGTAAAATTCAAAGGTTTTGATTTATAATACAGTAATAGATGGAGAATTAGAAGGGTTAGTAAATATGATTCATACAGTACAAGGGAAGCAAGACACATAAGAAGACTGTATTATAAGTTTGACTAAAACAGTTTCTCATATGTTGGAAAATAAGCCAAGTGTAGACAATCTGAGATGCTAGTATCATGACTCAGTATTCAAAAACTAGATGATAAGGATGAATATGAGGCTGTAAGAAGAAAGGGTGTTTATTTTATGTGCCTTGGTAGAGGACACCTGAGCAAGAACTATGAAGGTAAGGGTTTTGTGATGTTATAGTATATCAGAGGACATGTGGGAAAAAATCATCGCTTGTTACATAGAATGTTTAGTAATAGTAATAAGGTAAAGAATCCAGTGGAAATAACCAGTAACCTAGTTTCACATGATGGTGTTTTGCTAATGGTGAGTAGTGTTGGTGTATGAACAAAGATATCACAACACTGGGACTCTGGATCCAATATGACACTATAACTCATGGAATGGCTTGAAAGTTAGAGCTGAAAGTGTGTGTCTTGCTGTCACTAAAGTAGGAAATGATGTGATTAAGTCTGAGAGTAAAGAATATATTGTACCACTTACAGGCAAAGATGGTAACGAGTGGGAAATATGGCTTTGTGGCATCAATGAGATCACATCAGAGGTAACCCAAGTAGATACCAGCAAGGCTACAAAATTGCTAGGGGTAAACTGGGAAGATATTGTGAGGTCCCATGGGAAAATTTATTTACTTGTTGGTTCCATTTATTGTATAGTGGCATACTGCCCAGGGTTGTTAAGACTGTGGATGATATTCAGTTGATGGGTAACCCATTTTGGGATTGTTTAAGGGGATCCCATCCTTTATTGAGAACTACAAATAGTATTAACAGTAATGTTTGTGTCTCCATTAACCATTTAGTTGGTGTGCTTCATATTAATGACATAACTCTAGAACAGGACAAGAGTCTGACTCAGAAATTGAAAGAGTTTTTTGCATTAGAAAATCTTGGTATGTGTTTTAGTTCAGAATGTGTTAATTGTAAATGTAGGAATTGCCCGGCAGGAAGTAATGAATTTACTCTTAAGGAAGAAAGAAAATTATCTTTAATCAGTAAAGGCTTAAGTCTTGATCCAAAGAAAAATAGATGGATAGTCACATACCCATGGATTAAAAATCCTGAAAAAATACCAAATAATAATAGGTTAAAGCTAGGTTAATTAAAGTGTACTGAGAAGCAACAAAACAGATTAGGAAATGTATATATCAAAATTTATCAGGATCAAATTACATATATAGGGGGTGTAGCTAGAAAACTTGAGCCTAAAATATTACAGGAATATAGGGGACCGGTGCATTATATATCACACCATGAGGTACTAAAGCCAGAATCAACCTCAACACTCATTAGAATTGTATTTATCTCATCAGCCTCGTACAAGGGGCATGTTCTTAAAGAGTATTGGGCAAAGAGACAAGATATACTAATTAGATTTTGTCACATGTCATTAGCCTTTGCTGGTGATATTAGTAAAATGTATAATTCTATTTGGGTTTAGGAAATAGATTAGCACATTCACAGGTTCTTATGGAGGGATATGGATACTCAAAGAGAACCAGATCATTATGTACTTCAAACAGTAACCTTTGGGGACGATGCCAAGTGGAGTAATCTATGATGGCTTTACAAAAGACTGCAGAGAATTTCAAAAACTAATATCTTGATGTAGTGGATATGATTATTAAGAATTTTTACATTGATGATATTTTGCAAACTGTTTCAATTGTGTCTGAAGCTACACATGATGCAAAAGGCAGAGCAAGTTGTTAAGTCTGGAGGTTTTCAAATCAAACGCTGGATAACTTCAGGGAATCATGGGAGTGTTAGTGAAGATATTAACTTGATAGAATCTGATGATGAAAAGGTATTGGGTATGATAGGGAAGATCAGTTTGCATTCAGAGTAAAGATTAATTTTTCATGCAAATACAAGAAAGTTCACACAGGACCAGACTTGAGAGAGGATGAGATACCTGAAGCCTTCCCTACTTACTTAACAAAATAAATGATACTAAGTCAAATGGCATCACTATATGATCCCCTTGGTCTAGTTACATCATTTACTCTGCAAGCAAAATTACTGATGAGGGTATTGGTTAGTCATAATCAGTCGGGAAAAGGTGAAGGACAACCAGGTTTGGGTTGGGACAATCATAGCCTCAACTTCAAGTATCATGAGTGGAAGAGTTTGTTTAGTGAGATGTACCAATTAGAGACTATAAAATTCAGGAGATGTATCCACCCAGAAATGGCAGTTGGAAAACCTATGCTGATTATATTTTCAGATGGAAGTATTCAGGCATATGGGACGTGTGCTTACATTAGATGGGAAGTAAAGGATGGTGGGTTTGAGTCAAGATTGTTTGTTGCAAAGAATAGAATTGCTCCAACAAGACAGTTTTCTACTCCAAAGTTAGAGTTGCATGGTGCTGTAGAATCAGGAGTATCATTGAAAAGAAAATGAACTTCACAGTTGGTAGAGTTATGCATATAGTAGATTCATTGATTGTTCATGCTCAGATACAAAGATAATCATACAGCTTTGGTATTTATGTAGCTACAAAGATAGCAGAGATTCAGATGAGGACCCAACCTGAGGAATGGTGGTAGGTAGCCTCTGAAAATAATGTAGCAGATTTTACTACAAGATTATTCACACCTTGTGTTCTAAGAAGTGACTTAGTCTGGCAATGGCGTCCTGAATGATTTACACATCCCATAGATGAACGACATATTAGCCAGTTATGTGGTAGGAAATTACCTGATAGAATAGGTGTGTTAATGAAATGTGATGCCAAGAGTGGTGAGAACGAGCAGGATGTTATAGATGTGCAGTGATTTAGCAGCTATAATAAACTGATTAGAACTGCTAGTAGAATATTTGCTGCATTTGAATTGAAATAATTCACTGATATAAGAAATATTCCATCGCAGGAAATGTTGTCAAAGGCAGAAATATTCTGGGTAAAAAGAGTTCAGTTACTTTATGTTATTGGTGAACCTATGTATATATGTGTGTGTGTGTGTATGTGCGTGGTATATATTATATATTGTACATATATATATATATATATACATATATAAACATATACACATATATACATATATGTGTGTGTGTGTGTGTGTGTGTGTGTGTGTGTGTGTATGTGCTGGTGCAGGTAGCTAGCTATCTCTTTCGTTTATATATATATATATATATATATATATATATATATATATATATATATATATATATATGTATGTATGTATGTATGTATATATATATATATATATATATATATATATATATATATATATATATATATGCTCTACACACACACACACACACACACACACACACACACACACACACACACACACACACACACACACACACACACACACACACACACACATACACACACACACACACACACACATACACACACACACACACACATACACACACACACACACACACACACACACACACACACACACACATACACACACACACACACACACACACACACACACACACACACACACATACACACACACACATACACACACACACACACACATACACACACACACATACACACACACATACACACACACATACACACACACATACACACACACATACACACACACACACACACACACACACACACACACACACACACACACACACACACACACACACACACACACACATAGCTAGCTACATACACACGCACACGCACATATATAGCTAGCTACATACACACGCACACGCACATATATATCTATATACATATGTAGTTAGCTAGCTATATGTTTGTTTATCACACACACTCACTCAGACATTCACATTTTCTTACATTCTCCCATTTTCCCTTCTCTCTCTCTCTCTCTCTCTCTCTCTCTCTCTCTCTCTCTCTCTCTCTCTCTCTCTCTCTCTCTCTCTCTCTCACTCTCTTCCTTGTTCGCTGGTTCGCCATTCGTGTCAGTATAAGAGGAAAGTAGCATAACATTTCTGTTTTTTTTCGTATATTCACTTTTAATATCACTCCTATACTTAAATTTGTATTCTCATTTGAATGTTAAAATATTTTCATAAAACGTGTTTTCAAAGATAATCATATTTCACAGTAGTTCTTTCTTTCTCTTAGTATGTGACTTTGCTCAGCACATTCACTGAAAGAAATGAAGCCATACCAGCACATTCACAGTTCAGCCTTTTTCTTTCTTCTCCCTTTTTCCTATTCCTTCACTTCACTTGTCACTCGTGGATAAGTTTACCCGCTTGTTGTCCTTAACCTGTTTGTTCCCTTTGACCTGACTTTCTCGGTCGATCTGGTTGATGGGAGTGACTTGGTTGTTTGGGTTAACGACGTAGACAAGGTAGTAGAGAAGATACATGGAGCGCGCGTCAACGTAGTGGAAACTGATCGCTTCGTCACTGAGTTCTGCGTAACCCTGGAATGACACGGAGAAAACGATTGGTTTGAATTATTTGTGTCTGCTGTGGGTAGTTCATTTCTTTGTATCTCGAGGTTCTTCTCTCAATTTGTCTGTTTGTCTGTCTGTCTGTCTGTCTGTCTGTCCTCTTCTTCCCATCTTCCAATCCTCCCTTTTTTCCTCTTCTTCCTCTCTTTCCCTATTCTTCCCGTTCCCCTCTTCCTCCTTTCCTTTTTTCCTCTCTTCCCCTCTTCCTCTTTTCCTTTTCTTCCCCCTTTCATTTTCTACAATTACCCTTTTCCTCTTCTTCCCATATTCCCCTCCTTCCTTCTTTCCCTTCTTCCTCCTCTTTGCCCCCTCTCCCCCTCTTTCTTCTTTCCCTTTCCTCCTCTCCCCCACTTTTTTCTTTCTCCCTCTCCCTCCCTCCCCTCTTTCTACCTTCCCTCTTTCCCTCTCCCCTTTTCTGCTTCCCCACTCTCCTTCTTAACTTTTTTTTTCTTTTCCTCTCTCTCTCTCTCCCCCTCTTTATTCTTTCCCTCTCCCCATCCCCTCTCTTGATTCTTTCCTTCTCTCTCTTCTTTACTTCTCTCCGTCTCCCCTCTCCCCTTCTTTCTTCTTTTCCTCTCCCCCCTCTTCCTTCTTTCCCTCCCCCTCTTTCTTCTTTCCCTTTCTCCCTCTCCCGTCTTTCCCTCTCTCCCACTCCCCCTCTTTCTTCTTTCCCTTTCTCCCTTTCCCTTCTTCCCCCCCCCCTTTTCCCTAGCCCTCCCCCCCCTCCTTCCACCCACACCAACTTACAAACTTGTAAGGGAAGACCGACTGCGTCTTCAGCCACAGGTGCGTTATGCTGTTGGCTTGGCGTGGATCTATGAGCTCGTGCGGAGGATACATGTGGAACCGCTGTCGCCCGAGGGAGTCACGTGAGTCCAGGAATACGACACCTGTTGGAGAGGAAACACTGGTTCGAGCGCCTGTCTCCATGGGAAGTGGGTTGTAAAGGAGGTGCGTGGGCGGTGCATGTGTGTGAAGGGTTGTGGTGGTTTGTGTGGTGTTGTGTTATGAGTGTGTGTGGCGGGGGGACCGTGCTTTGTGTATGTGTGTGTTGGGGGGGAATGTGGGGGTAAAACTGATTAAAGTAAATCAAACTTGCTCTATATAAGTTTAATCATCATGTCACTTCAGCCTCTATTTTTGACGCAAACTGAGATAAGGACAAGGCCAGGCCAGTGGACCACACATTTGCTCCAGAATTGGGGAAAGTAATTTTTCCTTTTGGTATTTCTAGGAAAACGTAACCATTCTAGGTCACTGAGTATGGTAACGTCTTGAAATACTTTATACTGACAAAAAGAAAATATATAACATGTCTAAATACGAATGCAGGGAGGTGCAAGCGTGGATAACATAGACGGGTGGAACTTCATCTGCCAGGTATGCTTAAATCTACTTTCGAAGTCAAATATGACCAATTATCACTTGCAAAGTCTGTGAACATAGAATGTGGTTTCTGTGCTACAGTGTACATACCAGCATCAGTCCAGCCTCGCAATAATATTAGTTTACTGAATATCATGAAGATTATTTTTGAGGGGGTGGAGATCTACTTAAACCCTAAGTCACACAATCGCTTCCACCAAATCGCTGAATCCAACGACTCTGACCCAAATGAGCGAGGCACAGTGCCATGTTGACATCCTCATTGGCACCGAGGCTGAGATTCTCCTCGCAGCGCCGACCCCGCAGGCCGTCCTCCACCAGCCTCCTCACGGCGCCCCGGCTCAGCACGTAGCCAGCGCCGCCGTTGAAGTACGCCGAGCCCTGCAGTGAAGAAGCGGAGAGTGACTGGGGGGTATGAATGGTCATGGTCAAAGTATTTTAATGGCCCTCCCCTTCTACTTACCCTCGACTTCCCACGGTACCCAGCGCTCTACTGGTTATCGCCCGTGCCAACACTGACCTGCGCCCAGAACGACATTGACGAAGTGCCCAGAGCAAGCGATTCCGACCTTTACCGTCGATCACTTTATAACATCATGTGAGCTTATATCTTGATTATACTCAAAATGTTTGTTACAAAATCCTTATTCTCAACAACTATGTTTGTATTAATTTTATTGACGATATCGTTGTTATCCAATGTTCACGATTTAATTGTACTGACATATCTAGTGTCCCCGTCCAAACATGCGACCGCAGCACCCTAACACTGCCTTAAAACAAAGAGTCTGTACTGACATTCCCACCAAAAATCAGTATTACCATATTCTTGTGTTTAGCTAATATTCTGTGAACCCCTTCCTTCGGCGTCTCTGCCACGCCTGTCCTCTGTCCATCAGCTACCTTATTCCCGTGCAAATAAAGTTTAGAAGCTGTGACAACTTCACTTTAACCACAACACACCTCGAGAATCAAACACCAGTACAATCCAAGCGGGATACACTTCTGCAACACATCTTGCAAGTATAGATGAAGCACAATATGCTAATGGGAACTGATGGAGTGATTATGATGAAAGAAT